TAATCATAGCGCAGCAGCAAAGCGAAGGGGACGGGGGTTGAGTGACGTACTTGAAGCCGAGCTGCTCGAGGAAAGGAAGGAGACCGCTCTTCTTGAGGTACTCGGTAACGACGCCGGAACCGGGGGCGAGCGAGGTCTTGATGTACGACGGCACCTTCAGGCCCTTCTTAACGGCGTTGCGCGCCACGAGGCCGGCGGCGATCATGACCGACGGGTTGGAGGTGTTGGTGCACGACGTGATGGCGGCGATCACCACGCTGCCGTGGGTCAGGGTTCCCTGCTTCTTCTCGCCGTTCTCCTCATACTCAAAGGAGACCTTCTTGCTGACCTGCTCGGCAGTGAGACCGAAGCCTGTGCACCGTAAGAGAGAAGGATGAGTATGGGTAGTGCCAAAAGGCGTAAAGAAGAGAAACATTGCAAAAATATGCATGTGTCAGGACTTATTATTATATTCATGGCCATAGCCTATCATCAACACGGACCAATAAGTAGAAATCATCATCTACGATGCAACGTAAAAATGAGAGTAAAGGTGGAGAGGCTGGAGCGTACCCTTGTGGCCAACGGGGTTGGTGAGGCACGCGGCAAAGTCGGTCTTCATGTTGGACAGGGCGACGTAGTCGTGCGGGCGCTTGGGACCCGACAGGCACGGGATGATGGTCGACAGGTCGAGCTCGAGCACGTCGGTGAAGACGGGGTCCTGCGAGGCGTTGGTGTAATCGCGGAAGAGGCCCTGGGCCTTGAGGTACGCCTCGATGTAGGCGATCTGCTCGTCCGAACGACCGGTGAGACGCAGGTAGTCGAGGGTCTTGTTGTCGACGGGGAAGTAGCAGATCGTGGCGCCCATCTCCGGGGACATGTTGGAGATGGTGGCCCTGTGTTCCAGCGGAAGAAAAGTGAGTTAGAGGAAAAGAATGACAAAGTGATAGAAGAAGAGAGAATCTAAAAAACGAATTTTGAATGTAGTTAACAGATTTAACGGAGGGGCAACCGAGAAGCCCCGCCGCTGGTAAGGCAACCAGTATGTCACTTTAGCACCCATGTTTAAATCAGTGAAAATCTACCGCTCTGCTTCTCTATTCAACGCTCCGAAGAGCGGAACCAAGCGCAGAGTCGGCTACTTCACCAAATTGACGTGAATGCGGTCGGATAGAAGGAGAAGAGGAAAGATAAAACAAGAAAAGGGTGTATATGAGTCTCGTACCTGTCAGCGATGGAAAGCTGCTCGACAGCGGGACCGAAGAACTCGACGAACTTCTCCACGACGCCCTTGGCGCGCAGAGCCTTGGTGATGGCGAGCACCAGATCGGTGGCAGTGGCGTGCGAGGGGAACTGGCCGACGAGCTTGTAGCCGATGACCTCGGGGAGGACCATCGAGATGGGCTGATCGAGCATCACACCCTCAGCCTCGATACCGCCAACACCCCAGCCGACAACGCCGAGACCTGCAAAATAAGAAGAGGTGAGAAGCGGTAACAAGGGGAGGAATGGAGATGAGGGCTAAAGAAGTGATCATTTCAGGTCTCTATGGTCAGCATAGAAATCAGATTCATAACCGCAAGAGTATGTAATCATAGAGAAGAGAAGAGGAAAGACGGGTGACTCGGCGTACCGTTGATCATGGGAGTGTGCGAATCGGTACCGACGACTGAGTCGGGGTAGACGACGCCAGCCTCATCCTTGAAGACACAGCGACCGAGGTACTCCAAGTTGACCTGGTGGAACAGACACCGAAGAGAGGTGAGAAGAAGCGAACGGAAAGAGAGAGAAGGTTGTAAAATAAAGTTGTAAATGTAGTTCACTTCTACCGACACCCTCCGGTAGAGCCGGAGGTATGAAGGTGGTAGACGAGAACAGCAAGCACAAGGGGAGTGAGAAAACCCCACTCCCCCGACGTGCAGCCAAAATTATTTTTCCACAAATGTAACAAGCGAATGGAACAATATTACCCAAACACTCTGACTATTGTGGGTTGCCACGACCACGACCACGCAAAACAGAAACGCGAAACAGGGGGAGCCGCTCAAGTACCTGGTGGACGATACCGGCGCCGGGAGGGACGATGGTGAGACCCTTGAAGGCGTTGGCGCCCCACTTGAGGAAGGTGAAACGCTCGGCGTTACGCTGCATCTCGAGCTCCAAGTTCTTGTCGAGTGCGTCGTTGCGGCCATACTCGTCGACCTGGACGGAGTGATCAATGACGAGATCGACGGGCACAAGAGGGTTGATCTTGTCGGGGTCGCCGCCGAGACGCTTGCAGGTGTCCCTCATGGCAGCCAGATCGACCACAGCGGGCACGCCGGTGAAATCCTAAACACATCGAGAAAAATCTGAAGTGAGATAACAGCCGGAATGAAAGATCTGATAATCGGAGTTGAGCTTCAGTAAGGTGTTTTCCTCTCATCCACTACAGACTGATTAGATCCGTAGTGTAAGAAGGTGTCCTAAGAATACCAAAGTCATCACGTTACAAACGAATGAAAAATGGCCGGGATCGGGGTGCGCACCTGCAGGATCACGCGCGAGGGCTTGAACAGCACCTCGGACTGCTTGGAGTAGGTGTTCTCTGTTGGCCGAGAAAGGATGGATCAGAAATTTGGATCGTGCAAATTTTTGTAGCGCGATCGGCACAGTGCAAGGTACCCCAGTCGAGGATGGTCTCAACATCCTTCTGCGACACTCCGTTCTTGCCACAGTTCCTGATGGCGGACTCGAGGAGAACGCGCACCGAGAAAGGCAGCTTGGCTGTTGCACGAAAAGGACGACGATCGGTCAATCTACTGAAGGCGAGATCATGGTTCGCAATAAAACAACACAAAACGGCACAGTACGTTGCTCATGTTCCGGACACAACCAAGCGAAACTGATTGGTCCGGACCACGATGGGCAATTTCATGGAGGTAGTGTTACGCTACCGGTGGAGAATTATCGCCCTTTGGCCAGAGCAGATGCGGGCCAAATTCGCGGAATAGCGGCGCATGATTCTCGAGTAATTCAACGCTCAAACTGAAAAAAAGAAGAAGGCGCTAACACGATAAGCACTCGCACTGATACTTCAACTCAATCACAACGGCACCGCACTGGCCCACTGAAAACAGCCACAAATCTAAGCTCGTTTACCTCACGTACCCAAACGCTGATCGTTCAGGTCGGGCAGGGAGAAGTACTGGTAGGTGTTGCCGCCCACCTGGAGATCCTTCTTCAGGTTGGCGTAGGGGTTGGTGGTCTGCATGTGTATGTGCGAGGAGGGTGAAGATGTGAACTGGTGGCGGAGGGAACGAGCAACTACGCTGGCCCCATTTTTCTTTATTTATTCCCTTCAAGGAGAACCCCGCAAAAAACACCGCGCGGTGCCCGGTTATTTCCTACTTCAACAGGCCTCTGGCCGCGATTGGCTCTTGGTGTGTGTCTACACAAATCAAGGCGTGTACTGGGCCGTTTTTCATGTGTGTGTGGCTCGGTGCGTGCGGCGAGTGTCGCCAGTGCACTGGCCAGAGGCCGGCTTGGCGGTCTTCTTGCGGCTTGTGCAGCTGGTCGTTTCCTTGTCTGGGCCTCACCGGTAACGCAACTTACGGTTGTGTTCGTCTTGCCAGACGCCAGCGGTCAGTGGGGAAACTGTGCACATTTGGAATGTTTAATTTGATTTTGTTGGTATTGTTGGGGCGATCGTTGACAATCAGTTGGAGCGTTGCGCAGAGGTGATGGGAGCGGGGGAAGAAATCATCAGCGGCTCGCTCGGTCGGTAATCGCATCGAATCGCGCTGCCGATGGCGAGGAAGAATCCGAAGGCGCCGCCGCTCTGCAGGATGGTGTTGCCCACCGTCCGCACGAGCTGCCGTCCTCGCAGCTTGGCCGACAGTCCACCAATGGTGCCCACGATGAGACCGAACGTGCCGCCAATCGTGCATCCCAGCATCAGGCCGTTTCCAATCTGCGACAAGCACGACGGGCCATTGCCTTGCGGTCCTCGGTATGCCATATTGATGTAGATTTGAATTAAACTGTTCGATGTGTCGTCTGAAGATGCAAAATTAGATTGGCTTTCTTCGCCCTCCCACCTCACCGGTTTTCCAGGAAACGAACGGAAATAACATTTCCCTGTCTTTCTTTTGAACCAGCAGATGTTGCGCACAAGATTGGGTGCACGGCTCCGCCTGGCCAGCTGGCCGGCACTTCAGCCGGGAGGATGTGCTCGATGCTTCACTTCCTACGACCAGCCCTTCATACGTGTGAGCCGCCACACCAAGGACGACGCTGACCTTCAACGGAGGTGAGCCTTAGTACCAATAAATAAATAAACACTAATTCTGATTAACGTACTGGGTGGGGCAGGGACAGAGAAAAACATCCGGGAGTGAAGCGGGCTGTCGTGTTTCCCGGACAGGGCACGCAGTATGTGGGGATGGGCGCTGATCTGGCCAAGGAGTTCCCCGAGGTGCGCCGGCTCCACCTCCACTCAGAGGCGTGTCCGATCACTGACCACCCATGATTGTCTTCAGGCACGCCGTGTGTTCGAAGAGGTCGACGAGGCCCTGGGATTCCGCCTCTCCCAGATCATGTGGGACGGCGCACAGGTACCTACATCGCCATCATCATCATTGCCCTGGCCGCACATTTCTGCCCGTTTCCTGAATCGTGTGTGCTCATCCCGCCTCGGCTTTGGCTTTGCCAGCAAGAGCTCACCATGACCGAAAACGCTCAACCGGCCATCCTCGCGCATTCTCTCGCGGTGTTCCGGGTGCTCCAGGTCGTTAGCTCTACCGCTTTTGACCCAAAGTTGTTGTTTGGCTTTCGCTGCTAGCCTGTACACTCACACGCGGGATAACAACAACAACGAACTCGTGCGCTCGCCTTCTAGAAAGAACTAGGCCTGTCTGCCCCGAGAGGCTACGCCAGCATGCTGGGCTACTCGCTGGGCGAATGGTCCGCCATATGCGCTTCGGGGGCGTTGCCGCTATGGGACACTGCCCGACTGGTGGTAAGCACCATCTCTCAATAGTGAGGCTGTGCGTGTGCGTGTGCGTGTGCGTTGCAAGTAGCGATTGACAACCACTTTCATCTATCCACCCACCAACCGCAGCACTACAGAGGCAGGGTCATGCAGGAGGCTGTTCCTCTAGGCGAGGGAGCCATGGTCGCCCTGATGCCAATCGACGTTCCGACCGCCAGTGCCATCGCCAAGAAGTGAGTCACTTCGAGCCTTTACCCCGCAGACCCGCGAGTGTGCTGACGCATCCGGTGCCGTACAGGGCAGCGGAAGAGACAGGCGGGCTGACGTGTCAGGTGGCCAACATCAATTCACCCAAGCAGGCACGTCTCCCACATTGCCTGCGGTCGCACGCTTTAGTGTTCAGTCTCGGTCAGTGAGCGCTGGAAAACTTCAGGCCTGACACACATTTCACTACTCGCTCCAGATCGTGCTCAGCGGGGCGGCGGGGGCGATCGACAAGGCCGTCGAGATCGCCAAGCGGGAGCATAAACGAATCAAGCTCGTTCAAAAGGTATATATCTGTACCACTCCACGTTCGATCTGGCAACACCAAGCGGCGCAGTGCTGATCATTCCAACCTGCGCGTTCGTCAGTTGAACGTCAGCGCGCCGTTTCACTGCGAGATGATGCGGCCCGCTGCCCAGAAGCTGCAGGACTACATGGCCGACTCTACCAATAAGGCACCCCCCCTCGCATGTTCTCCTCAGACCCTTTTCTTGCCTTAACACGTGGCCTCCGCCGTCTGGGCTTCGTGCAGGTCAAGTTCGCCGACCCGTCGGTGCCCATCGTGTCCAACGTCACGGCGCGACCCATCACCCAGGCCGGCGAGCTGTTGGACCTCGAGGTCAAGCAGGTGACCGACGCCGTCCAGTGGCTCGACTCCATCCGCCTGCTCGCCTACCCGGCCACCGCGGCCGCGTCTTCAGAAGGTCCGACCCTTTATATGTCCGACCACAAGCCTGACTAACCCCATCTTCGACCCACGCGTGCCACACCAGACGTGATGCGGCATGCGGCGGGCAGGCCGGCCTGGAAGGAGATCGAGGAAGAGGAGAAGCTGTGGCAGTGGAAGGGCTTCGACGACTTCCTGGAGTTGGGTCCGGGCAAGACCCTCAGCGGCTTCGTGCGCCAGATCGGCACCGAGCTCCAGGCCACGTACGCTGTTTACACACCTCCCCCCCGCCCCCGCAAGTTCATTACATGGACAGCTATGCACTGACTCCATTCACATCCACTTCCTGCAGGAACGTGGGCACGGCGCAAGAAGTGATCGACTATTGCAAGCACTACCGCGAATAAAACTTGACTTGTTGTGTTGTGGTTCATGGAAAGATGCTGATGGGGAAGATAATGTTGTATATTGGGTAGGGAGGGGTAGGGAGGCATCAAATATTGATGGTTCGTGGTTGGTTGGTTGAAGGTGAAGGAGAGCAGCGTGGTGATGATTTCTCATGGTCTCGATTAGTTGTGGCGGAGCGGGGTGCCCTGGCGCACTTCGGACAGGAAGCCCTCCTTGTTCCACCGCCGCACGCTCGCCTCGTCGCCCACCGCCGGCTTGGCCTTGTCCTCCGTCTCCACGTGCTTCAGCTCCACTCCGCCGCCCGCGCTCCGCCTCACCGCATCGAGCAGCTGCGCCTTGTGGAAGCCGGCTTTGGGGCCGATGGGGTTGACCTCGCTGGCGTGGGCCTTGGCGAAGACCAGCTCGGGCCGGGCCTTGTCGTCGGTCTCCACGTGGTGGAGGATCTTGTGCTCGATGCCGATCTGCCGCAGCACCTCGCCGCGCTGGGCCTGCGCCGCCGCCACGCTCCGCAGCAGCTCGAGCCGCGGCGCCGACCTATCGCGCCTGTCTTCGGCCTTGACCTTGACCAGCCGAGCCTCGTTGTTGCCGCGCCTGATGTCGATCCACAGGTCGGCCCATCTCTGCGCCGAGAGCTCGAACTTGAAGTCGTGGGCGGTGAGCTTGATGGAGCGCAGGAGGCCCTTCTCGATGGTGGCGACGTGCACGAGCGGCCTGGCGGTCCTGCACTGGCGAATGTCCTCCAGCAGCGGCTGCACGTTCCACCGCTTGAGCGCGAACGGCTGCCACTTGAAAAGTTCGGCGACTTGGCTCTCGCGCACGTGGGCGACGTGGCGCAGGCGACCGGTGGCGGTCATGCGCGCGAAGCCGCCGGAGCGCACGAGGTGGGCCATGAGGGCCTCGCGCCGCATGTGCACCTCGGCCACCTGGGCCGGCGTGAGGGCCTGCAGCGGGCGGTGGTGCTTGAGCTCGCCGTGGGCCTTGAGCCGCTGCTGGCGGCCGGTGGACTCGAGGGCGGGCTTGTGGAGCAGGTGGCCCACGGTCTGCTTGACGCCGCCGACGAGCTTGTCCTTGACGCCCTCGAGCGTGAGCTTGGCGTCGTCGAGCTTCTTGTTGGCGGTGCTCTTCTTCTTGTTGTGGTTGATGTAAGTCGAAGCCATGATGATGGTCGTAGCTGGTTGTTGGAGGTAAGTGCTGGGCGGGGTTAGTTGTTGTTGATGATGAAAGTTGGGGTTCAGTATTTATGGTGGAGGCAGGTGGGAGTAAGGGAAAAACGAGAGGGAGTTAATATATAGTGGATGGACATAGTAGTACTGAGATGACGCATACCAGATAGGCAGAACTTTAGGCAGAAAATTTTCCCAGACTCTAATGTCTTTGTCCCCCATCATGAATTTCCCGAGTTGGTCATTGCCATATAAGGCCAATGTGTCTCAAACAACTCTATATACAAAAAGCGGACGGCGCTTGCCTTGGGGTGCTTGTGCGCTCGATGGGTACGGTGGAGTCAAGAGCTGATGAGAAGGGTGTAGTTGTCACTGCGGGAGACACAAAAGGCAACGCCTCCAACGCCCATTCCCACGACTAGTACCACAGCACCCACCATGAGCATGATGGCTCCCACTCTCGTGATGGTGATGGGGGGAGGTTGAGAGGTGGTACGTACTGCAGACGAAGTTGTCAGCGCGGCCGACGACGCACTCGCAGTACTCCTTGCTGTTGGGGTCTGGGTACTTGATGGGACAGTCCGAGTTGTCGTTGTTCCTGATGGTCATCGCGCCCATGCTCCTGCCCTCGATCGAGCTCACCGCGGGTCCATTGGCGTGGTGGCCGCTGTTGATGTGCTCCCCCTGTTGTCTCAGCGTCATTGCGCCATCGCTGGCCGAGTTGTTGGCCCCGTTGTGGTCTCCAGTGAGAGGAGTTGGCGAGGGACAGAGAAAGGCCTCTAGCCACCAACGCCAGCCGGCTGTTATGGCCAATGTGCTGCCCAAATGTGTGGGCGTTGGTTTCAACTCAACGCAAACTCCAAGATCTGGAACACTCAGGAATTGGTGGAGACACGATGAGACACCTCTCTTTGGTTTTGGCTCGCTGGACCGACCGAGTAGGCCTTTCTTATTATTGAAGAATGTTGTGCAAGACAACTACTCGCTCACACCTTGGAGGCCTGCTGCTGGGGCGGGTACTGCTGGTACATGTAGCTCTGCGGCTGGGGCTGCTGCGCGTACTGCGGCACAGCGGGCTGGTGATGATGGTGCACGGTGGCGTGACCGCCGCCCACCACAGCGTAGGTTCGTCGGCGGCGGGCAGCGCGCACGCAGAGGCCCACGCAGGCGCTGCATGCGCCCACGCCCACGACGACGACGGCCACGATGACAAGAATAGCGCCCGTGCTCAACGCTGCACAATTAGGGAAAAAAGTTGTTGCATGGTCAGCTAAATTGTTTGCAAGCAACACATCTTTCATTACAACATATTGCACGTAAGTAGTGTACGTACTGCAGCTGGAGGAGACGCAGAGAACGCCACCGAACGAGCACGAGCAGTCGTACTGTACGCAAATAAATAGAAAGTTAGCATAGTGTTCCAGATAAAAAAACTAGAAGTTGAGGAATGAAAGATGAACATATTGGGGGGGGGGGTGAGAAGCGCGCACGTTGCAGATGAAGTTGTCGGAGCGGCCGACGACGCACTCGCAGTAGTCCTTGCTGTTGATGTTCGGGTACTTGTAGGGGCAGTCGGAGTTGTCGGTGTCGCGGATGGTCATCGCGTCCTTGGCCCCTCCGTCGATCGAAGTCACCGCCGGACCTGTGCCGTAGCTGTTGTTGGTCTGATCTTGCCTGGCGACATGGTTGTTGTTGTTGCTGTTGTGGTCTCCGGTGAGAGGTGAAAGAAGGAGCGAGATGGCGATGAATATCGAAGCCAGGCCTTGCATCTTGTGTTGTTGTTGTTGTTAGGTCCTTGACGTCTCGCAAGCGGAGGAAATAAGTTGTAGTGGTACTCTCCTCTTACTCCTCCATTTAAGGCGCCACCGCCTTACCAACTCCGAAATAGAGGGGAAAGGCCAATGGCCATTCCAAACTTTAAGTGAAACAAGAGACGGACAAATCGGAGGAGGTGTTGAGCCTCAAGAAGAAGTGCGAGAAGCCCTGAGAGCGAAGCAAACAGAGAGGCCAACAAGAAGGTGGGAACCGTTGGCTGTTGAAGTTCAAAAAACAACGAAAACTCTCTCAGCTAAACTACATTCACCCTCGCGAGGGTGTGCGTGTGTGCGTGTGCGGGTCGTGCGGTGCCGCGAGTCGCTGCTCGCCGCCGACGGCGGGCTTCGGCTTGCGCGGCTTGGCACTGCCCGGCGCCCCGCCGACGTTGGCAGCGGTTGCGCCCTCCTTGTCCTTGTCCTTGTCTTTCCTGCCCGGCGGCGTGGCGGGCGTGGCGGCGACGGCAGCAGACAGGGCTGGGTCCTTGTACTTGTCCTCGCGCTCCCTCCGCCGCTCG